CTTCCTGCACAACAAAGGCGAAAGATTGTAAATCATCAACATAACTGGCCACGAAAACTGTGTTTGCTTACTTAGTTTATAAGGATTTCATACCAGCAGGAGTGCAAGTGCAAGCCTTAAGTTTCTGGACTGCACCAAATTCAGGGGAATTTTGTCATCAATCTTTTTCCATTGTGGGAATCAGCAGGGTTGTCGAAGAATGATTATTCCATTTCGTTGTTAGAGTGCCATTTTAAGGTTCTTGCATCTTTCTTTTAACAGAGAAAACTTACGTTTGAACTACGGTACCTTATAGGCAAAAAAGTACCACATCACCTGTAGGCCAGGTGCACCATCATTACTTCATTAGCAATACTCTTCTTTTTTAATTGAAAAACGGGATAAAAAACACATGTGACAATCTGAGCGAGAAGCAAACTCCTTTGGGTACAAAAACACAATCATTTAGGACAGCATTTGTATACTTTTTGATATCAAGACCCATTGGACATAAGATTTTTTTGGCCTCTTTTGTAATTACGAATAGGTTAGAGTACTTTGTTTCTGGGATCATCTATTTCAACAAACTCCAACTCGGTGAAACTTTTATCGGTACATCCATTCATTGACCCTTTAACAAACTAAACAAAACGTTTAAAGTTGAAGGACAAGACGTGTAAAGTTCGAGCATTCCGGGGAACCACGGTTTGCTCTGATCATAAATAAGAGAATCATACAAATTAGCTCTTCCAAAATATCTTCACTCGACATCACGATCAAGTCCGCTAAATTGGTCACTAATCCATTCTTTCCACATTTTAATTCGTTCATCCGTGAAGTGGTGGATTGGTCCAGAGTACTCTCCAGGCCAAGTCCAAACGGTATAAGTTTCCATTTGCCGTACACTGAATAGATGGTCCGCCACATTGCCTAAGTCTACCGGATGATTAAGACAACGAACACCAGGACCAAAAATATGTCCCGTTTGACAGGACTTAGCCATTTTGGTAACATATGCAAGAACTTCGAAACACCCTTATCATATTCTTCACTGATGCGATGTTCGTTCATCCAGCTTCGATCCATACTATGTTCGTAAAATCATCCGTTGAAGTTTTTTAATTCTCACAAGGTTAGGCCCTAACCCATTCAAAAAAATTAATTTTCATAATTTACTCAGGCACGTGCATTGAAGTCTACATCATAAAATTGATAAGATTTCAGCAGCATTTCACATTAGTCTCCGAAATGAGAGTAGGCAACGATGACCAAAATCAAATATGCATCCGGAGAACAACAGAAATACTAAACCGAAACTTTATCAATCTTATCCATAAACTCCAATTGACATGTTATTGAAAATTATGAAAATTAATTTTCTCAAACTGTCCAATCGGACAATTCAAGGACAAGGTACATACATCCGTCATCCTTACCACCAGACAAAAACAACAAGCTTCAACCAATGTCAACCCTCCCAACAAATAAAGTCAATCTTTTCAACTTATTCGGTTTCAAAATCAAAATTAAGAAAAATGGCTCAGTAAATAAAAGGGGAAAAACCACCAGACTTAAATTGATATACTTAAAAACCTGTTTTTGTTAAAGAAAGTTTAAGTTTCTATAATAGTGTATCGCTCGGTTTGTTGTTTTTTATAATAGTCGAGTCTAGGTGGAGATTTGTAGATTAGGCTCTTTTACTCGTTTTTGGTTTTGACCGCTCGGTCTCATTGTGACCGTTCGGTCGTGTGCTTTCGGTTCTGACTTTGGTTGTGTTGTTCGGTCTTTGCTGTACTCGACCGATGTTCGGCCTCTACTGTTGATGACCGCTCGGTCTTTCTGTTATGTTTGTTTCAGTGGCTTAGATTGGATATATATTGTAGCCTGTCTTTACGTTTTGAAATTAATTCAATCTCGAAGTATTAATTAGATATTTTTCTCTCTTTTTTTCTCTTATTCTTTCTTCTTTGCATCTGGGTTTTCTGTTCTCCGTTTCACGCAAACCCAACAACTATAATTATCTTCCTGTTTTTTTCATTTTCCATTATCTAAATGAAGAACAAGGGAACAAGTGTTTCTCATACACTCCTTAACTCATCGCACATGCATAATCAAACTTTCACAAAATGTTCAATAAATTTTTGGAAACCACATATCAAGTTCAATAGAAGAAAATTTCCCAAATTAACCAACACATGTATAGTTAGCTCTGATACATTAATTCAAGGTTAAATATAAAATAAAAGCTAGATGGTAAAGATTCAACAAAAACACAGGTAAAATGAACATACTGAAGTGCGTCTACTGCAACTTCAGCAACAAAACAGCTACCAATCTAGTCTTGAACAAATGATGAGCATTTCTAGTCAAGCTCACAATATGTGAAAAAGAAATGCAAGGGCTAAAAATCCATTTTTGAAAGTGTACTGAACCCAATTCTGTGAGAGTGCAATACTCGGAGACCAGAGCCTGCATCAAACTTCAGTTCATATGCCAGGCAGTATTACAACAAACAAAAAATGAAAATAAAAGTTACCAGGCCGGTGCATGAATTTTTTAGCAGTTTGTTGTTGAACTCTTCCATGGCTTCGAATATAAGAAGCTAGGTTCCCTCCAGCACAAAACTCAAGGACAAGGTACATACATCCATCATCCTTACCACCAGACAAAAACAACAAGCTTCAACCAACGTCAACCCTCCCAACAAATAAAGTCAATCTTTTCAACTTACTCGGTTTCAAAATCAAAATTAAGAAAAATGGCTTAGTAAATAAAAGGGGAAAAACCACCAGACTTAAATTGATATACTTAAAAACCTGTTTTTGTTAAAGAAAGTTTAAGTTTGAATCCAACTTGATGAAAAATTACTTTTACTAACGTTGTAGAAAAGCATAGCATGTCTGAAAATTTCTTCATATATCTACGTGATATTAATATGATGTAGATATATTTAACAATATGGTTTTTGTGGATTGTTTGTTGTAATATTTGAAATTATTTAAAACTATTTAGAATAATATTTTAATTATAGTTTGAGAATAAATTACATGAAAATTTGATAATGATTCACCTTAGTTGAAGAAGCAGAAGTCCATTTTTCAGTCATGCATTGACTCTCACGTAGTATCGTGTGCATGCAGAGGATTAAATAAACCATGTGCATGACAAATATTTGTCTGCGAGCAAATGAATATAATGGTTCATAATCTGCCAGTTGTTTATATACTAAATTATTTCATTATCAGTTTTTTGCTTAAAAGAATCTGTCGGAAGACAAATGTAAAAGTTGCAAAGTCCCACATGGAACGGTTAACGGAAGATACAGTGTTTATAACGCTTTGACGAGGGTATTAAGGTGTTGGAATTTGTGTTGTTTGACGAAGTCATGTCTCTTTTATAATCAACCTAAGAGGTGTAGAGAGAATGAAGCATAAGCCGGCTTTGATCACCTTCTGAAGGTCTCGCTTGAAACCTTCACCACGGTCTTTCCTTTTCAAGGCCCACATCTGACAGTTAAGGGAGAATCATATTCTTTATAAACTTCTGACAATCTGAATGAATCGGCGAGCTACGTTGCGCTAGCTTGTAACCCTAGCGAGATCATTAAGGTGATGAGTTTCCTTAGTTAGTTTTCAAATATAAAAGTGCCTTTGAATATATTGTCTATATTTTATGAACCTTAAACTTTGGATGACTCACTCTTAAGTGTGAAACGGAGTAACACAGGCTGCTGCACCGTGAAAAGTGGTCTATGAACATTATGCTTGAATCATCTACGACACTACAATGTAAATTAGTAAATAGTTAAAATACCACAGGTCTTCCTTTTCACGTCCTACATTGAATAGTTAACGGAAGATATAGTGTTTTTAAAGCTTTGGCATACCACAAGGAGTGTCGAGCCAGGTCATGGTGGTTTGTAACAGAGGTATTAAGGTGATGGAACTTGTTTTATAAGACTAAGTGGTGTCAAGGATAGCTTTCTTCTACTTCAAATGAAGTTTGTTTCTTTTGAATAATCAACCCAAAGGTTGAAGAGGGAATGGAACATTAGTAGGTTTGCCCAAACCCCTCGACCAGTATCCTGTAAAAGATATTTGGATGATTAAGTCAAAAAGGATTTGAACACAAAAGAGTATTAAATACAGTATTACTTTGTCACTGATCACGGTCTTTCCTTTTCAAGGCCCACATCTGACAGTTAACGGAGGATCATATTGTTTATAAACCTCTGACATTCTGAATGAATTGCCGAGCTAGGTTGCGCTAGCTTGTAACCCTAGCGGGAGCATTAAGGTGATGGAACTTGCAAAAACACTGCTAGACTGAGTGTGGTGCCTATGGTAGCCTGCTTCCCACTCTTAAAAGAAGTGGTATCTCCTCTGTTTACATACTAGACAGAGTTGAAGTTTGTGAGGGCATTGAGGCACAACCAGACGGTTGGAGCGGCTAGACCTGCTCAGCGCTGCCCTTGACAGACCAGCGAGCTGGTTCTGCTAGCCACACTAAGCGGTGTAGGCAAAATTACAGCGGCAGCTTTGAATGCACCACCACTGAGGTCAAAAACACAGTGCTTGGACCATCACCTTTTTAACTACCTTATATTTTAAGCCTACAATTCCATTCTATTGTGCTTGAATCATCTACGTCTTCTTTTTCTTATGAAAGCATGAATATTTGAAATAGAGCAAACTATCTTTCGTTGCAATATCCAGTATTTACTTATGAAAGAAAGCTGCAAAATAAAAATTAAGATTATAAATAGTTAAAATACCAAACGGTCTTTCCTTTTCACGTCCCACTTTGAACGGATATAGTGTTTATAAAGCTTTAATATACATTGTCGACCTGGGTCGTGGGAGCTTGTAACCCTAACGGGATATTAATCAAAGTGCTGAAACTTGTATTATTAGACTGACTAATGTCAAGGGATCGACTATATCCATGTGCAAACATGGTTACCATGCTCTAGTCACAATGTTGCGAGATGATAACCACTGTTGAGTGTGAAACAGAGACGCATGAAGAGGCATGCGACCACCATTGACAACGACATGGTGGGCGACAACGATCGAGGCGATGCAATGGCGAGCGAGGCGCTTGCTACAGAGAACGTGCCCGTGAGCAACGACAAACAAGTGTGTGAGCGACGATTGGAGATAGGACGCAAAGGAGATCGTAATAAAGAACAAAGAAGATGTCACAAGAATAAAAGCATGAGCTGAGTGAATCGCAAGAGAGGAACAAATGAGCTTTGTCACTAACCTTAAATCAGAAAACCTAATCTACCTAATCTGGTGAGACCTTCATTTTACATTTTAAAAATTTCTTTACAAACTCGTCAAATCGAAAGCAAACTCATGATTTTAAGCGAGTCTACGGAGTCCACCAACGACCTTAACAATTCTACACTATTTTTGAGTTTTCTTCCGAGTTAACTTCGAAGCATTGAGTGAAGTCATAAACTCAATCGAGTTAACAACTCGCGAGGTTGATAATCATGTTTGTACCTATCTACGAAGTGCCCTACACTTGACTTTTATGGTCGTCCAAACCTACCATACCATTAGAATCTCAGCGTTCAAAGTGAATGCCCGCAGACATCATTGTGCATTTTGTTCATAACATACTTGACTTTTTCTTTGGAGATGTACTTTAGGAGGGTCTATAATCGTGACAAACTACGAGATTCGTCAAGCTTCAACTAAAGTTATTTTGTAGCCATCATCCTGCTGGTACATTAATGGTTTAATTTTGACTCTCTAACTGTTTTATTCGACTATTGAAATACTCTTGCATTCTTCTATAGTTGGCTTTGTCAAGATCTATCGTATAACAGTGCTTAGCTCTTTTTCTTACCACTAACTAACTTGGACAATAAGTCGGTTCAAGTGTTTTTCGTTTCAGAATTGTGTTCTAAGTTGACCGCTTCAAAGTCCTTACTGGATCACTCTGTGATATACTAATATAATAGGTCATCTTTAACCTGGAACAATTCAGAACGCTTAATTGATCGAGTCAACTTTGAGATTGTGCACAAATCCTAAAAGAAGATATTTCAAAATAAGTTGTAAGACTATATAAAAATACCGTAAATTATAGCATTATTGTAAATAGTGCATATAGTAACACTAAAGAAGAATTTTGACATATTATGAAAATATAGAAGATATAATAGAGCTCAATTACTAGGGTCTTTTTAAAGTTATATTATTTAAATGTAAATTGACTAACACCATAAAAGATAAAGGGTTTAAAAAAGATCTATGGGTTTTTACTTGTATTATTTTGTAATTGATTATATCAGTATTATGTTGTCAATATCAAATTTTATCTTTAGAAAAAAAAGTTTCAAAATAGAAAAAGAGAAAATACAATATAAAAAATTATGAAAAATTTATATATTAATTTGTATTATGTTAGGAAGAAAATTTAAATCCTCTATTAATTGTTTTACCTTTTCTAGAATCTATAAAAGTAAGATAGATAATCAATTTAGATCTTAAAATGTTTAATTTTGTTTTTAAAGAGATATATAAAAAATACTAAAATACTAGTAAAAATACTAAACTTACATGATCTGAAATACTAAAATGTTTAACTTATCTGAATATATAAAAATACTAAAATTACATTATAAATTCTGTCAGATATTTTTATTAATAACAATCCACATGACAAAAAATCTTTAAAAAAAGTTTAACACATGTCCCAACTTCTTAGAAATAAAAAGTATATTGGATATTTTTTTGTCATCAAATATCTATATCTTTAACATCAACTGAAATATTGGATAAACAATAATTTTTCAAATAATTAATTATATCCAATTTTACGGGTTTTCATCAATAATAATTTAAATGACATTTAACTAAATATTTTTATATTCTTCGTTTTAATAAAATAACTATTATTGTTAGATTTAATTTATATTTGACATATACATAAATTTAAATATATTTAACTGAATCTTTGTTAACTTGTTTTATCAAATGAGTATTTAAAATTTTATATATTTTTCAAATAAGTTTTTTTGTTATATAATGTACCCATTATCTTATTAAATCATTTTATTTCATTAATATGTTAACATTTGTGAGAGTAAAAGTTTCTTAGGTATTAATATAAAGTTATTGAGATAATATAATGATCTTGCCATTCAACATATTTTTAATTATTGCAATAAAATTCACTTATTGTTTTATATTAATAGCAATATCATTTTATATTAGCTAAAAAATTTTACAGCGTTAAATAATATGATTAAACAAAATAACGATAAGTAGTAAAATAATTAAACCATAAAAACAAAAATAGAAAACTTAAAAATTTTATATACTTGATAAAAAATACTGCAGATCTATTATTATTATTATTTGTCACACTCAACATTATGTCAAAATCTTAAAATTTTATGAAAGAAGTAAAAGATAAATAAGATAAAATAAAAATATATTAATTAAGTTTCATTATTAATATACTTATTATTATTATTATTATTATTATTATTATTATTATTATTATTATTTATCACGCTTGAAATTAAGATAAAATCTTTAAAGTTTATGAAAAAAGATAGGAATATTATAATCCATTTCAAAGTTATAGAAAAAAAATTTAAAAATAATATAACTAAACAAATTTCAGTCTAATAGTCAACAAACTATAACCCTTTAAATTATTTAACCTAAAATTATTACTCTTAACTGAATACATAAGATTAATTTAGTTTAAAAATAATTTTTCTCTTTTAATATGATTTATTTATTTGAGTTACTTTCTTCACCTTAGTAATTTCACTAACAACCAACACATAATATTATTTATTATACTCAAAACTATAATATCTTAAGCAAACTTTTTATTTGTACATATTTCACCATAGAAATCCCTTCCATAAGTATCTCTCAAACTGAAAAAAGACAAAATGTTAGATATTGAAAATATTTAAAAGTGGTTAACATTGTTATCCTTGCAAAAACAAAAAAAAAATATTAAT